CCTGATCTGCCTCGTCGTTCGTTACCATCGCCAATACTTCTGAAAAGTGCTCTTTGAGGTCGTCTATCGTAGGGCGATGCCTGTTACTCCGAAGCTTACCATCACTCACGAGGTATGGGATGTCGTCCTTGACCTGCAGGCATCCAATGAAATGCGTAACCCATCTTCATGCATCTCCTCCCTACTGACAATACCGTGGGTGTCTCATCCAACACGTGCGGCTCGACAGTCTCGTCCAATTCGTCCACGACTATCTTGGCCACGTCGGATGTGGAAGTGGAACCATTCGCGGTCTGGAACACAATCTCGTCATCGTCTTTCACAATGTCGACACCCAGGCTCTTTGCCTTGGCTCGTCCGATGAGATCATGACCACATCCGGTGCCCATCAACCATTTCACCCGTTTGCTGATGCACGTTGACATGGCGAAAACGTTCTTCGGCAAACCATGCTGCTTCTTCCAGTCGACAGCCGATTCCCTGATTTCGTCCTTGCTCTGATCATATTCGAACATTATGCTGCTCTCCTTGGTCACCGGGAAGTAGTGTTTCTTGTATATGTCATCTACCACCTCTCTCAGTATTTTCGCTCTTATCAATGATCGTTGGACTTGATAGGCTGATAGTTCTCGATGATCACTGCTCTTGAACTTCTTCTCGTCGACGTACACGTACTGATAAGGCTCATTCTCATTGTCTTCGAGGTAGGTGATATCTCCATTCTCGTCGACGTCGAGTACTTCCTTGAACCATACCATTTTCTCGGGGATCTCGGACTCGCCAGACCATCTCGATGATTCGCTCATCGCGTCGTCATCATGCTCGTGGTAGACGGTCTCGGCTTCATCCGGTTCGACCTGGTCGACGTCCTTCTTGAAGCTGACCTTTCCCGCAGGAGCCGATTGCTTCAGGACTATCGCAGGCATCGCGATGGCCCTCCTTGCAATAGCTGGTGCTGCGGCCTTTGCGGCAGCCTTCGACTTGGCTTGCGCCTTGTTGCTTGACGTTGCCGGAGCTGAATTGTTCTTGATGAGCTCGTGCCTGGATTTGGACTTACCCTTTCCTTTCCCCTTGGGCATGTTCTCCAGCTTGTGCTCCGTCTTCTTGCTGTGGGAAAATGTGCATTCATTCCCTTTCACGCATCCCTTCGCCGATTTGAAGTGATACCAACAGGGGTTATCTTTGCCTCCGCCCGGACTCTTGCCTCTGTCGCTGGCACCGTCGGACTTGCCGTTCTTGCCAGCGTGGCCCTTTGCTTTGGCTTTTGGGAGTACAGGAGCAGCATCAGGTCCGCCGGGTTTCCCCTTTCTGCCCTTGCCACCCTGGTTCTCCTGTCTGCCAGTGGCTGGAGCCGCATCTTTGCCGCCTGACTTCATCATCGACTTGACCGATCTTCTCCTTCATGTCAAGCATCAGGTCCTCCCGATCCGCCTTGATCTGATGGTCGATCAACGCCAATAAGAATTCATACGTCTTCTGAGGATGCTTGTCCGGTAGTCTATGGTAGGCATTGAGGCCGAATTCCATCTTCTTGCTCCCCTTGATCTTCCTGTAAAGGATATCTCTGAGAGCCAATTTACTGGGTCTGTCCTCGCTCCTCATCTTCAGCAGCAAATCATACCATTTGTTCCTGAACATAACCAAGTTCTTGTCTCCAGGAAAGTCAAGGTTGAATAGATGCTCGATGTGGTAGACAAGATCCGTTCTATCGGATGTTCTGAATGATTGCATAACCAATGCCACCAACTCTCGTCCCTTCACGATCACCCCTTGTTGATGTCGTAGTTCCGAGTGCCGCGTAGCGTCGAGGTATACGTCTTTGGCTTCGTCAGGTGCTTGTTTCAACATGTTCTGCATGCCCATGGCCATCTTAATATCTATCGTAGCAAATCTGTCGCCACCTGAATCGCTAAGCATATTCAGGTCTGGGTTCAACCCAAGAGCCTGTTCCAACCATTTCGTCCATGTGTCGGTATCTGGATCTGCACATGCGCTCAGGACATTCATCAGCAGTTGCATCTTCCAGTTATCAAGTTGGTGGATCTTTGGCCAAGCCGGAATGGATACCCTCTCAGCCTCTTTCCTCGAGATCCTCGGTCTATCGTTCTTGATCTCCCGATCATCTCTCGATCTTCTTCGTCTCCTCCGTGTCCGATTGTCATCTTCTTCCTCTTCTTCTTCCTCGTCTTCTTCATCCTCTTCGTCGTCGTCGTCCTCGTCCTCATCGTCGGGTAGGTCATCCGGAGGTCCTCCTCCACCACCAGTGAGGCTCAACTGACGTCGACTTGCTCTCTGCCTATTCCCATTAGGCGAGAATCCAACGTAATCCAATGGGGGCGTAGTACCGTTGTTTCCCCCTCCATCGCCGCCACCAGTTGTAGTAGTGGATTGTGGGACGTGTCCGACAACCCCTTGCATCTGGGATAGGTGTACATCGATCATTGGATCACCGAAAGACGGAAAGAGAATCGAACCCGGCATTAGTGACGAATTAGGGGTCAGATTTGAAGACGATGACGGGACTAACCCAGCCACCTTCTTGTCTACCCTAGTTGAATTAGCTTGGGGTCCTCCCTCAGCGCGTTTCACTACTGCTCGTTCACGATGTCCATCTTTGCTGCTGGAGGCTTCCTGTGTCTCCAGCTTCTTGTGTGCACGTAGTTCCTCGTTGTCAGCATCGAGTTGGCGTACAAAACTCTCTTCTTGCTTGAGCGTCGCCTCTCTTTCCTTCAGTTGTCCTGAAGCTCATGCATCTCCTCGAGGTACTCATCGTACATTCCCTTAGCTGTCAATCTCCAGTACTCAGCCTCCTTCGACTTCTCGTCCATCGTGCACCGTTCTTCTTGTTTTGCTTCTTTGACCTGGGCTAACTCCAAGATCGCATCTTGACGATGACCACCTTCGACAGCAATCATCTGGTCCTTCATCGACACGTCGGATTCATACTGTTTGACGATCTCTTCCTTCTCGCGAAGCAAGCAATCTGCTCTCTTTGATTCTTGTTCCGCAAATACTGTAACATCATTCAGTCTCGCCATCAGCTGTTCCCTGGAGTCCTCCATAGAGTACGTCTCGGGGCGCTTGACAAGTGCGTTCCAACTGTGATTTCAGACTTTGGACCATCTCCTCCTCGTTGAACTTCTCGATAGATGTAGACGATTCGATGCCTCTGATTTGTTGCTGATAAACTGATATCTGCTGTGAAGCTTCGCGGTGTATCTGATTTGCACGTATAGCTGACTCCTGCGCGGCCGACTTCTCGCTTGCCATGTAGGATTTCATCACTGCAATCTCCCGCTTCTGCTCCATGATAGTTCCTTCAGCTTGTCTCATCTGTTGCATTATAATATTCGACTCCATGTCTTTCTTTTCCCCGTACTGAAATGCGTTCATTTCCACCTTGCGCATCTGTTGGGCTTCTTCCTCAAACTTGCGCCATGCCTCAGCCATGTGGTGTTGGTGGTGACTCACTAGATGTCCCGACTGCTTGCTGGCAATCTCGCATCGTCTTTCCAGCTCCTGGATCCGGATGGTGCTTCCATAGTCTTCTTGATGAAGATTCGCCATTGCTGCCGACATTTCATCAAGTGTCTTTTGATATTCCCCGATCTCCACCTCCATCTTATTCTTCTCTTTGATCGCGGCGCGAAACTCCGCACTGGTGGGTGATTTTGACCTCCCACCCTTCGATGTCGATCTCACGCCCTTCTGCGACGTCCGTGGTGTCGCAGGCGAAGATGATGATCTTCTCGGTGGGGATTCTCTTTGCTTCGACTCCTGATGAACATCGATCTGCTGAATCTGCGATCATATCCATCACCGCAGGAAGAGCCATCAATCCATTGGATCCCTCTGAGCTGCTGTTCCCAAAAGTTGCAGTACTTGGGCTCGCTGAAGATGCCATTGTACGGGGTAGGTTATCGTCCCTTTATTGTCCCCGGAACCGGAATAAACCAGCTGTCTCTCTGTCCAGTGTAGAGCTTGTAGTTACGGCTGATAACCTGTCAAGAGACGGCAAGGTGACGTCCCGTGGGACGCTATGCACCGAACCCTCCAGCTGTAATACCAACCACGTGGAAAGGTGTATACGGACGATACCGTTATAGCCGAACCCGTGTAAATGTTGTAAGGGGGAAGGAATGATAGTTACAACAGTGGTCCTGACAAATGCAGCGCAAGCGAAGTGTTTTCCGCTCTCAACGCCGATCACGTATGAATGCAGCTACACATCAGATCTTGAACCTCAATTGTGTCTTGAGCCAAATGGCGATCAATGGAACTTGGTAAGCAACACCAACATAGACCTCAGAACAGCTTCCCAATTTAGGCACGGGGCCTAGAGGGTTTTAACAAGCATTATGCATCCTTCTCTTTTTTTCTCACTCAGAGCAGCTTGGGGGAACTGCGCGACTCCCGCGATGCCAAGCAGGACTTCATCCGCTATGGCCTATCTGACCGCCACTGTAGGCGGGGGTGTGGGTGGGTGGGTGCAAGAATACTCCATTCTAAAGATGAGCGGCTCCCGCCCTCCCTTCCCCTTGAACTTGAAACGCAAGTGAATGCCATTCACACCTTCGCTTCTGGGACAGCAAGCTTGTAAAAGCTGTGCCCATCCCTGTTCACTTTTGTTTACACAAAACAAAAGAAACAGGGAACAAGCCTCGAGAGATAAAGCACTAACAACCTACGGTTGACCGTTAACTTATCTCGCTACGGCTGGTAGCAGGGCACAGACAAGGCCAAGCAACGCCAGCAGGCAAACAGCATCCCCAGCGTTCCTGAGCTGGGCCAGTCAAGCTTGCATCCCCAGCATTCTCGAGCCGGGGCGTGTGGAGCCGGAGGCGTGTAAAGACCATATTTAAAAATCAAACTTCGATCGTATATATAAATATATACACATCAAATCTCCTCACGAGAAATATGACCTGGTGTCATATTTAATACACCTTCCAGAAAAAAAGAGAACAGTTCATCACCGTTCAGCATTATGCATCCTTCTCTTTTTTTCCTCACTCAGAGCAGCTTGGGGGTGTTGGCGCGTGAAACTGCGCGACTCCCGCGATGCCAAGCAGGACTTCATCCGCTATGGCCTATCTGACCGCCACTGTAACCCCCATGCCACTCTTGCCACTCTGGCGTATCGCACTTAGCACTTCGCCAAGTTCTGCTTCTGTTTCACTTAAGGTTGTTCCCAGATCTCGGCAACCTCTAGAAGGAGCATCAGCTGGATTTGAATGGCTAGGCACTCCCCCAAACCACAGGCGGGCGTTGTTCGCCCTTTCCCACGATTCGGTCCACTCGATGAGGAGTCTGCCGCACTCGCTGTCGCTCTGCCCTTTGACAAAGCATCCCAAAGTGCCGTTGTTGTCTGTGTAGACAACAACTTGGCGATTGATAAAATACTTGCTCCAGGTCTGCAGCGCCACCGCAATTGCACATGATTCTAATTCAAAAATGGGGTTCGCGCTCCCTGCCAAGTTCAGAAGTGAGAGCTCCGACTCGGCAAGCCATCTGCTGAAGAAACTTCCCCTTTGGTCTTCACTGGCCACCAGGACGGCCCCCAGCCCTGCTTTCAAAAACAACCAGTGTCTCACATGTGGCTGGCACGATCAATCTTGGCTTGGCCAAAACAACGCGATCCCTAAGAAAGGTCAGCGCAAGTTTGAGCTTCTCATGCAAATGGCCCCCTCTTGGAAAACGGCTCACAAAGTAATTGAGCACACCCATGGCTCTACATGACTGCCTCCCTGCCATCTGAGTCTCTGCAAACTGCAAGCGCCCTCGAAGCGAAGCCAGTTCTCCTGGCGCGTGCGCTCCTTGTGACAGAATTCCTGCAATGGATTCCGACAGCTCTGATATTCTCTTCTGAGTGTTTTTCAAGCTGCAAGCGGAAAGGTGTGAATCCCCAAGGTCCACTTCCAACCCGAGGACCTTTGCAACAGTTGAAAAAGCAACGAGCTTATCGTCTGAGATGCCCCAACCCAACAAGCGGAAAAAGCTCGCAACCACCAGTAGAAGTCATCATAATACCCACTCCAATGCAGTTTCAGCTGGACAGTACCAAGGCTGCACGAATGAAACAGTTCACCGAAGCGCAAGCCCCGAAAGGGAGTACCAGCTGCAAATAAATCTCCGGAACGCCAGTTGACGGGTTCCATACCCCAATGTACGAGTCGCAGAGTGACGAGGCCGAAACGAACAGTTGCTTGTACGCCTTCCTCAAATCCCAGCACTGAGCTTTCAAGTTCTCGCTGATGCCTGCACGTCGCCCGAGATCCATGCGAAAACCCAGAGCCGCACCAATCACATCAGCGGTGTGAACAGAAATGCCCTCACAGGAACTGCAGGTCGAGTTGATCAAACTTTCAGTCAGGTTGTCAATAGGGCGGCATTTCCCTCCCTGCCAAATTCCAAAACGTCTTGAAACAGTTGCCCCACGAGGGAGCGCTTCTGGGCTGACGGGCCCTTCGAGCCAGCCCTTCTCCAGCTCTTGCAAAGTAATTTTGTGGAGCTCCTCGTCAAGGCTTGTGTCGCCAGAAGATTTCACACTTGCCAAAATTCCTCGGCTGCGCAGCTCTGCCGTTGCTCTCAACTCTTCGACAGTCATCTCTGCGAAAGTGAATTTGGTCTTGAAAACCCCACTGGCCGGGATTGGACCCGTGAGGTCGTAGCCTTTGCAGATCTGGTCTGTAAGCAGTGCGTCAGGGTGATTGATTTCACGCAGCAGCTCACGAAAAAGAGCAAGCCTCTTGCCGCGCGTGATGGACTCCCCATGGGCAGGCATGGCAGCACGCACAGTCTGCTCCTCGTCCCTCAGATTGAAAGCCAAGCTCGGCCAGCGTCTCAAAACTGCGGTTCGTTCCCTTCCGAGGTCCTCGTCGGAAGCGAAAACACATGCTTACGTGGGCAGTCCGATCGGTTGCAACCGCGGGCCAGATTGTAGTTGTAGCAAACAGGGACAGCCCTTTTCCGAGCAGCTCAGCTGGCTGGTTCGGCATCCGCACCGGGTCCGACTTCGACTTCCCACGGGCAAACCCGCCACGAGACATCTGGGGCGCGCAATCGAGGAGGCTTTGGTCAAAAATTCGTCGGGTGTCCAAAGACACCCACCACCGCCTTGAAGAGTCGGTCAACATCTGACTTTGTATCCAGGTCAGCTCTGCTCCCCGCTGGTCTTATAATACCCCCCTGCCATTGTGTTCGTATAACTTTGCTGCCGGCAGGCACGATTCCAACGCTGCTTGAACAGGTCACACCGTGAGGCACAGTCCAATCGTTGGAAAATTGTGTTGGGATTAAACGACGAGGCCCGACAAGTGTGAAAATGTATTTGAATTCACTGATCAAAGGAGGAAAACGGCAGCCGCGTGGCTGAACTCCAGTCATTGCCCTTGCTTGCCTGATTTGCGCGAAGTACACAGAATCCTGAGCCTGGGTCAGGGATGCGGCTGGTTCAAGCGCACCGTGTTGCAAAAGGACGTTCTTGATCAAATGGGCAAAAGCTGCACAAAGTGGCCAAGGATAAGCCGTTTCCTCGGCCGTAGCCCAGCCTTTGTTGGGTATGCAACCCCACGGTCGGTGCCCATGTTGGTTATCGCACAGCACTCCCAGCTCTGAAATCTCCGCAAAATTTGCTTGCAGCTGTGTAAATTTGCGTCTTGACGACCCAAACATGCAATGATGCAAGAAGGTGGCATGCAACTGCAAGGGCTGGGTCCGCAACCACAAACTTGTCTCCCAAAACAACGACCAAGCAGGATTTTCAACAGTGAAGAGAATTCCCCGTCTGCTGCACAGGTCGGCTATGTCTGCTGTTAGGCTGTAAAGCGCGTTCGCAGCTGCAACCTTTGTAGCATCGGTGCCGTAAATCCATGGGCACCCATCGGGATACACATCTGATCTCAGCCGCTTTGGACAAGGTCCGCTGCGGACTATCTCTCTTGCTCTGGACGCTGTGCCGCAAGGCGGTCCGCAGTGCACTGCTGCTGTAAATGGTGAATCCAAAATCTTGAACAAGAGCTCGCACTGTTTTGTGAGATCAAGTTTCACGGTCGGCGCAGCGCATTGCTTGGCAATGACATGGTCGACACCTCCGCTCTCTGTCAACCCGACGCGCCTAACACTTGCTGTCAGGCGGCCACTCCCGGAGAAAACCTCTACGAAAAGCAGCCTGGTGAGATCCTTGCCCTCAACGCGGGAACGGAAAAGCCGCTCCCACGTACCATCCACCTCATCTCAGCGGTGCTTACTCACGGGGTGTCCTTTCTCACATCCGATCTCAGCACAGACGTGCTTGCCGCGACTGCATGACTCATTGTCGCCGGCACCGTCACAGCCGCCCAGATTGTATGCCCAGCAGATCCTTTCGCCAGACTTTGTCTCGCTTGCTTTACCAAACATACCCTTTGGCAGAGGCATTCGAGTCTTGCTGCTTTTGCCCCCACCTTTGTTGCCACCTGTGGGCTTCTTGGCCAAACGTTTGGGCTCCACGTCGCTTGCTCCAGCAGCCGCCGAGCTCACTCGCTTCTCTGGTCGCTTGGGCAGTGGCTTCGCCCCAGGCAGTGGCAACAAATGGCCTAACTTGTGAAACGACGTCACCTGTCAAACTGCGGACAAGAAAACACTTCTCACCCTCTCTTGGAACTTCTGGACGGGTTCAGAGCATCTGCAAGATTCTCTAAGGTGCGGACTGGCCTACCTCTTTCACATTGAGAACATTTCCACCCATCGCTGTAGATGAGCTTCACAAACTTCTCGTGGCCTGCACTCAACTTTCTCCCGCACACAAACGCTGAAGCCTCTCCTTTCGGCAGCAAATGAAGCGTCTTCGTCTTCTTGTGTTGAAAAACATCGCAAAGGTCCCTCCAGTTAAAGCTGCTCAAAATCGTGCCCTTTTCTGCAGACTCTGTAATTGCAAGATCTGCAGCATCGCTATCAGACGAGTCTATAGAAGAACCGCTTGAAGAAGAACTATCCGACGTGCTCTCGTCAGGGGTTCCGCTGCACTCGTCATGTTGCTTCTCAAGGATGTCTTCGGACTCCACTGCGTGTCCAACTTCCGACCCCAATGTCTCGCCGCCTTTCATCGCCTCGTCGGCCGCCCCATGTCCAGGTTCTTCTGCAAATAATCCAGACCTGGTCAAATCGGGGAGAAACAAACCACGCCTCACAGATTCCAGAACTGTCTCGAGCGATCTCAAAGGGGCGGACTGTCGATCTGGCCAAGCACTGCTCTGACCTCTTCAGATAGTCCGTACTGGGAGCACCACTTCAGCAGCGTTAATTTCAACCCGTGTGAGGTGAGTCGGCCAGGACCTTGCGCGTCACGTGTCCCAAGCGCCGCATTCAGCCAATTTGTGACTTCGTCAGTGGATAGCGCTCTCTCCATCCAACCCCCATCAGAGGTCGGAGCCGGTTGAAGGGGCCCTCGAACATCACTTCCCGCTTTCAGGCCAGCTCTCTCTCGCAAATCAGCATATTCCAGCCCCCAAGGTTTTGCACCGAGGCCCAAAAGAGGGGCAACCAGCGGCAGCGACATTCCATTGCTCCACATCGCTGTCTTGTGAGAGTGCGTTGTAACTTCTAAATAACCAACTGTTGTATTGACTTTTCCTGCAAGTCTCTTTGCGTTCACGTCAAGCAAGACTCCACTGATGTCCCTTGTGTCTGACACCCGGCAAACAGACGATCAATCATGCCCTGATCACAGTCGTGCAACAGACCCTCGAGCGTCAAGATCTCTGACGCCTTCAAAGTCCTTGACTGGATACGTGCATTGCGTCCTTTCTTCGCCCCGCGCAAAATACCTTTCACCACGGGTGTCAGCACAGGACTTGTCCATTCAATACCAAGAACATGGATGCCAAAACTTATTGCTTCGCTGACTCCCTGCAATTGTGAGAAAAGTGCACCAGCGTCTCTCTCTTCGAGCATGTAGGATTCAACGACCTCTCCCCTGAAAGGAAACAGTTGCATCACATGACCACTTCTCTGCCACCAGCGTATGAGCTTACCAAGAGAACATGCCCTCTTCAAAAGGGTAAACTTGCTTTTACCACCAAGCACTGCAGACAAAACTGACAATTGCTCCTCCTCGTTGTTCTGCTCCATGAGCCGCCGACCCGTCGCTGAAGCATAAGGTGCATGAAGTAAGATCAGCAACCATCTCCTCAATAAAGATTCCGGCAAACCAAACATCTCAATGTCTAATGCTTTGGCTTCACCAAATCTTCTGCCTCTTGTAACGTCTTTGTAAAAACATGTACCTCGTGTGAAGTTCTGTTCCACAGGTGCAACGCTGCAAGGCTCACGCTCAACCAATGTCAAATCTGTTGCAGGCACTCGTTGCAAAATTGTCGTGTCACTTGTTCCAAAAACAAACTCCATGCCGCCGGTTTCCCATGGCAAAGTGAGGTTGGATTTACTCGAGTTCATGAAAATTGCGTCTGTTATCGCACAATCCAAAACACCACCATGGTTCCGCGCGCGTGTCCTGCGTGGTTCGTGCATATCAGGTTTCTGAACAGACTTCATTCCAACCAATGCAAAAGCGTGCTTCCGTTTAAGATCGTGCCCAGGCATGCGGTGACAGCTCGGGTTTCCAGAAGTTTTGTCTTCGACAGAGTCCGGATTCCAAGATTGCACATCATGTCCTTCAACGTGTGAGGATGACCCACCGCCATGACCGGCAAAACTGTACCGCTCATAGTCAGACCCCCCTGCCATCACAATAGCCGATATGCAACTCAGAAAAAGCACATCAGCAAAGCAAGTGGGTGCAAGAATACTCCATTCTAAATATGAGCGGCTCCCGCCCTCCCTTCCCCTTGAACTTGAAACGCAAGTGAATGCCATTCACACCTTCGCTTCTGGGACAGCAAGCTTGTAAAAGCTGTGCCCATCCCTGTTCACTTTTGTTTACACAAAACAAAAGAAACAGGGAACAAGCCTCAAGAGATAAAGCACTAACAACCTACGGTTGACCGTTAACTTAAATTCATAAACAACTAAAATATAATAAAATTCCTTCAATCCGGGCTATATTTTAAATTCCTTCAACTCAAAATCTTCAAATTTTGAAGTCTTGACATCTTAAGATCTTAAAATCTTAAATTCCGAAAGTCGCCAAATCTCACAAAACATAAAATCTTAAAGCCTTCGAAATCTGATAATAGATGATGGAAAATGGCTGGGCAATGGCCTGGCTGTTATAACCTTAAACCGTTGAAACCTTCAATTCCGAAAGTCTTCAACTCAACTCTGAGACCCTTAGATTTTAAAATCTTAGCCTCTACTAATTGGACTTACAGGAAAGGGAAGTGACAGAACGGGCAGGGCAAGGTGCCCGGTGGCCGGCTGTGTCGCGTTAGCGCGATCGGGCCGCAGCTCGCCCAGTTCGTCAGGAAAAGACTCGCAGTCCAGCGGGCCCGCGGAGGCCGCCCGGTGATGGTCAGCGTGGCGCCCGTGAGCGCCCCGGTAGCTGCGAAGCTTGCTGCGTCCGAGGCCGTCAGCGTGCCCGCGGACACGTCGCCCACCGTGGTGAAGTTCCCGGCGTTGGCCGTGTTGTTGATGGTGAGTGTGCTGCCCGTGATTCCGGTGGCGGAGCTCAGCAGGCCGACGCTGGCCGCTCCGGTGATGCTCAGCGAGCTGCCTGACACGGCCCCTGTGGACGACAGCGTGGCTCCGGCGACGGTGGCTGTGAGCGCTGCGCAGGAGACTGCGCCCGAGGCGTCCGCGGTGAGCCCGTCCAGCGTGGCCGAGCCCGTGAGGGCCAGCAAGTCCGCCAGCCGGAGACCGACTTCCCTCGAAGGCCAAGGCCCTGATCTGCATGCTGTACAGGTCCAGCGTGCCCGCCGACTGCTGCACCAGCCCGGGGATCGCCTCCGAAAGCTCCAAAGTGCAGCTTCGCGATTCCGCCCGGCGGCACCGAGAAGTCCAGGCGCGCCGTGCTCCAGACACCCTCGAGGGCGTGCCAAGGAAGGTGCCGGTGACGCCCACTAGTCGTTGACGTGCCCAGCCTGTACCGGCAGCCGAAGGAGTAGCGTCTTCCCGCGTCAGCGTGCGTGTAGGTGCGCACGATGTTCCAGGCGAAGGCGCTCAGGGTCATCGCGTAGCCCTCCAGCTGGAAGCCTCCCCCGTGAAGCTGGGAGGCCACGGAGCTCTGGCTGTTGGAGCGCACCAGAAAATTGCCTGGCGTGGGGCAACGGCCTCGAGCATCGCAGCCGCGCTGCTCAGCTACTACACATCGCACAAGTAGACGGCCTCCTTGCCGGCAAGCTCGGAGTCACGGAGGCGGCCTCGGCGCTGCAAATAGCAGTGCGCTTTCCGGACGACGGAGGGGCCGACCAGGTGGGGCCGCCAAGGAGAGCAGATCCTGGGCCCCACGGACGTCTCGCTGTCAAACTGGACGGTTCCTGGCCACCCGCGGGAGTAAGTGTGAATTGGCGGCGAACCCGTGGAACATCGTGCACCCCGGGCCGAGAGCTCCTCTTCGCCTGCCGCTACCGGCTCGGCACGGCCTCCAACTTTGTGGTGTACATGTCGAGGCCTTGTACGGCAGCTTTGTGGGCGACCAGGGC